CATTTGATTCTCCGGCACAGCCCAGGGTAGACCCCTGTAGAACCGCTTATATAACCCTAAACCCTAAATCTTAAATCCTAAACCCAAAGACCTAAATGCTAAATCCGAAATCGTCCTAAAACCCAAATCCTACACCCAAAATCCTAAACCCTAAATCCTAACCCGCAGGATCTCATTAACTTTGCATCTGAGTGCGAAGTGCTCGTCCAGGCGGAAAGCATGGAGTTTAACCTAGCAAGTTTAGGGCTTAGAGTTTAGGGTTTAGGGCTTAGGGTTGTAGACCTAAGGGTTTAGGGAGTCTAGGGCTTAGGGTTGTAGGCCTTAGGGTCTAGGAAGTCCAGGGCTTAGGGTTGTAGGCCTTAGGGTTTAGGGGTTTGGGGTTTAGGGTTGTAGGGCTTAGGGTTTAGCGGGTGTAAGGCTTAGGGTTGTAGGCTTTGAGGTTTAGGAGGTTAAGGGTTGTAGGCCTCAGGGTTTAGGGGTTTGGGGTTTAGGGTGCAGGCGTGGGGCTTAAAGTGTAGAGATTAGGGGGCTGTCGGTTTAAAGCTTGGGGGCTTACCCCTTCATTGAGGAATATACCTTAAATGCTACTAGGATTAGGGAATATAAAAGGAATGCGGCTCTAGGCCGTTCCTACGCGAGATCGTGGGCGTGGCATCGCTTAGCAACTTCCTAGGCCCCTGAGGATCATCATAGCCCAAAAGCCTGTGATAGTATGGTCTTGGGCCCAAAAGCTGCAAAATCTGAATTAGAGCCTTAACTGAATTAGGGTTTAGGGTTTGGGGGTTGGTACCTCTCAACTCGACACTCCCTCAACCCACCCAACACCTCAAAGCCTAAACATCTGAACCCTAAACCGCTTGGAGGAAAGTGCCCCAAGTAGCCGGTTTCGGAGTCTGCTGTAAGTTCAAGCCACCTAAGGGTTGGTAGGTGTAAGGTAGTTTAGGGTTTTAGGGTTTAGGGAGCACACCTCCATGATACCTCCAGAAGGACTGCGATGAGACCTGGTACCTCTAGGAGCGGTATGGGTTTAGGGTCTAAGGCTCAGGATGTGGGGTTTAGGGTTTACGGCCTTGGGGTTTAGAGTTTGGGGTTTAGCGGCACACTACCCGCCTTGTTGCAACTGAACACCTTTATTCCCTTACCATTTGCCGCAGGCACATAGACCCTGAGGACCCCGGATGTAAAGGGGCAATTTGGTTGCACGGGGATATTTTAGGGTTATGTAGGGACGCATATAAACAATCGTATTACCATATACATAATGAACAAATACATATATATATATGTATAGTGTTTATATGTTTGTATGTAGATCAGGTGTATAAATTGCAGATAGTGGGGATGTGTGGGTCGCGGGCCTTCCACCTAGGCATGTCTGTTTTGTGGAGAAGGCTGTCATATGCTGAGTCCCTTAACACCTGCCCTGATGCCAGTGGCAATGGTAGCCCGGCCTCCCATCTGGATCCCCACCGGAAATATATTACCCCGCATCCCACCCCGACCCCAATATCTGGATCCTTAACCTTAACCATTCAGTTTAATGATCCAAGCAGTATCTGTCATAGTTGTTCTGCTTTGGGCTACAGAGACAGCCAGTACGGATGGCGGGGATACAGAGCCTTACCTACCCAAAGGATCCTAAGTACCAATGTACGGGATACTAACCTAAACCATATAGGCAACTCCTGGTATAGAAACCCTACTTCACAGTATATACTTAGGATCCTTTGGGCTAACTCCCAGGTCCCTGAAAGTGGCCCCACAACCCTCACTAAGGCTCATTGCAACTCAGCGGCCCCCTCTGTCTCTTTCGCCATCTCAGAGTCCCTGCAGAGGCTGCTTTCAGGACAGTGGCGGCGTAACGCCGCATGACTAAAATATTCAAGCTCCTCTGTACAAAAATACATCTACGTGGCACTGAGGACCCCTACTAAAGGTTAACCCTTAGGTACCTATAATAGGACTATAAGGGAATCCCAAAGGGTTAAGGGTCTCAGGTCCAAGCTAAGCCCCAAGGAGACATGAAAGGCAAGCCAGGATTCAGAGAGCAGGGTTGAGGGTTCAGAGCTTGGGGTCCAGCCTTTGAGGGTTTGAGGGTTCCTCGGCGATGTCCAAACATTATGAAGGACTGGTCACTCAGACCCCTGGGAGGATCTAAAAATTAGATCCCCTAGATAGACCCATGATAACCCCCATTATTTCCTTATATAATTTCCCTATGGTTCTAGGGGATCTAATTTGTTGATCCTTTTTTGGGGTCTGGGCACTCACTACAGTCTGTCTGCAAGCATCAACTTGGGAACCGTACAGAATACCATCCTTACCAGCGCACCACAGAAAGGAGTTATTGACATGAAGCGGCGTTCGCAAAGGTCCATCGCCTTTAGGGCCCTTTGAGGTTTGAGAGGCTTGTAGTAGATACTGTTGATGCTAACAAGCCTGCATGACCCTAGAATAGCATGATAATGATCAGAAATTCCCTAGCTCTAAGGGGCTTGGTGTCATGCGGAATTTTGGTATCCACTGCATGGCGTTAGGTTTTCCACACTCCAGCCAAGACCAGACAGTGGAAACTCAACCTACTAAACCACAAGGGGCGTGGAACAAGTTAGGGGCCCTGTTTGGGGAGTCCCTCGAATTGGGCCCTAAACCCTAATTGAAATATAATGCGAAGCCCCCGATTTCAAATTTGTGGGAACATTTCCCATATCTGTCACAGGCTAGCGGGCTCTAGGGCTCCATTTGAACTCTGCCCGCTTCGTATCGGGTTTATATGGGTCATACAGGTATATATAAGGTTAGATAGGGTTATGTAGGGTGATACCGGATTATATAGGGTCGATCATGTAGGTTCATAGGCTTTGTAGAGGCCCGGCTGCGTAGAAAGAAAGTCTTTGCGTACGTCCAGATGGCATTTGGGTACCTAAAGCATGTAAGCGTATCCTCTGAACATTCTCGGGGCCTGTTGTCAACAAGTGCGCCAGCCTGACTACAAGATTAGCCCTGTACACTCAAACCGCCCGTACGCTGAACCCTAGAGAGTAGAGCTGACCTCCGGAACTCCAAACCCCGGCCCTGAGCCCCAAACCTGAATTCTCATCTCTGACATGTCAACACTGTAATAAAAGACACGTTGAACAGTTCCTGGGCGTTCTACTACAAAAAGGAACAAAGTACTGCCTCTCCCAAAGTGCCATTAGGGAGAAGCTTTCCGAAGCTTGTGGTCTAGGGTTTAGGGTTGAAGGTTTGGATTTGGGATTTGGGGCGCAGGCTTAAGCCCAGCTTTTTCTAGTGGTTGAGTTTGGGTTGTTTAGGGTTTAGAGGGATAAGATCTAGCGCTTAGGGTTGAAGGTTTGGGTTTGGGATTTCGGGCGCAAGCTTAAGCCCAGCTTTTTCTAGTGGTTGAGTTTGGGTTGTTTAGGGTTTAGAGGGATAAGATCTAGCGCTTAGGGTTGAAGGTTTGGGTTTGGGGTTCGGGGCGCAGGCTTAAGCCCAGCTTTTTCTAGTGGTTGAAGCTCAGTGTTTAGGGATTAGGGTGTGAAATCACGTCTGGAAGCCACACGCCAAGTGGAACAGGGTTGACCCTAGCCCTAGACCACAAACCCTACACCACTCAACCTAGCACTTCCAAAGCCTGAGACCGCATGCCATAGTGCGCATTTTAAAACACGCTGCGACACGCAGGTAAGGTCCTACAAAAGAGAAATGGGGGAAACTCACACAACAAGCAATACTACATATGAGCCATAGTCGAAAGTGCTAGTATCCCCCTTAATATCCCCTATACTTCTTCCCTATATAACCCCCTACATAACCCCCTTTAAGGAGTTTAGACTACGGCTGATAGAAGGATGTTGGGGAAGTCTCCAGGGGGTATCTGATGGGGATTAGTAACCCCCCCTCCTCAAAGCTGTTTGAGACAAGATCCTTAATCTGGGTTGCTGTGAAGGATCTTAAATTAAGTTACTCAAATGGGTGTATATATATATATACACATATATATATAGAGTAAATAATAGGGTTTCCCCAACATAGCATGTTAAATTAAATTCCTTGACAGCAACCCTGTGATAAGCAGGGGCGGACCACAACTGCCAGAAAGCCAGGCTCAGCAAAGCCACATTCTGATCCCTTTTCAATGAACAACTTATAATACCCCTTAAGCAGGGTTTAGGGTTAAAGGCTTGGGGTATGAATGACTTATAGTCCCCCTTAAGTCGGGTTTAGGGTTCAGGGTTCAGGTCCTCCGTAAGTAAATAGAAAATGGAATTCCCTACAACCATAACAAGATCCTCATATATCCCATATGCTATCTACTCACCGGGAACTATAAGCTTTTAAGTTCCTGCACCAAGGTTTGCACCGTTTGCTTGAGAGGGAGGGATGAAAATTTCTGTCGGGTAGGACGTTGGTCTCACCCTTTATTAGGTAGGTTTGATCCAAGCCCACCCTTTACTAGGTAGGTTTGCGGCCCTATGCAAATCAAGTTATCATGGCTTATAAGGGTTTAAGGGTAACAAAAATCAGAATATTGCCCAACCTAATTACCCCTGTGTACCCGATCTTGCAAAGGGGTGTTGCTGTCACATGAAGGTCGAACGTTCTGCAGCGCTCCTTTGCATCTTCTGGACGCTTTCAATGAAGAGCGAGATCGCTGAAGATGATTGCCGCATGATTTGGCAACATGCTGTCGAGTGGTTGTAGTAAGCTATGGTGGCAGTAGCACACACACACCCACCAAATTCCAACAGAATGCCTATCGACACCATGTCTTCGTGATTAATCAGCATGTTAGCGCTGCTACTACTTCTGCTACTTCCATTGCTGCTACTTCTAGTAGTAACAATGAAAATAGCAATTGAGACCAATGTGACTATGATAACTGCCTCAGCTACAGCGACTAAGACTGGTGCTGCTCCTGCCCCTGCTGCTGCACCCCATAACCATACTCTCTTGAAGACATAAGTCTAAGTTCATCCCCTAGAAGTTCAGAACGTAGCTCATTTTATATGCTGCACCTGAAGCTGGGCAGTGTCCAACGCCCAAGGATGCCTGTAGCCTTCAAAACCCGAAAGCTTTGGTGGGGGGAACGTCGGGTCGGTGAAGCAGCCGATCTTGATTCCTGAGTGGCCCAAACTTCAGCAGAGGAGATATGAAGGAGCTTCTGGTTTTACAGCGTAGACTCAGGTCAGTAGGGCAGTTTACATTTGCTACGAACTGGACTCGCCAAGATTGGCTCTACTAACGCACATATCACTCAAATGAAATCAGGACTACCTGCCCAAAACATACAAAAGTCACTGTACAATCCTGGACGGACCCACATGTGAGATGAATTCCATGGAACCCATACATCCCAAATGAAAAGTCTATCCAAAATAGACGCTGAGGCCTGAGCCACCCCGTTTAATTTTGAGGCAGCGAACCCCTGTCTATACAGGCATCTCATGAAGCACCAAATAGAACCCCTATATAACCCCAATCTCTCTCTCTCTCCCTCTATATATATATATACACACCCTATACTAGTAGCTTCCATTTCATTATCCATTATCCCCCTATCCCCCCCAATATATATCCTAGAATTCTTGGCCCTTAGAGCTTCTGTAAACCCCATATGAACGTTTCCCATAGTAGGGGTACCTTTTTTGGGTCTCTATGATAAGGACTATAGTATATTGGGATCTAGAATGGGGTCCCCTTATCTAGGGAAACTACAATGTAAACCCTATGAAGACCTGTGATCCGAAAAGATTCCAATCCGCTCATTGTCGGCATCTGCAGTGTACCAAACGGTGGAACCACAGTAAGGGCAAAAGTGAAAGCACGCACCGCCTCGTCGGCTCACTTGGAGGTTCATGGGCAGCTAGCTACAAGAAGGCAACTGATTCTGAACTATAGCCTTAGGCACAAGAACCACCACTGGCTTGTGGTTGAGGACATAGATGCGACGTTCCGATTTTACAGTGCGGGGTTTAGAGGTAAAGGGCGGAGGCTTTAGGTACACACTACGGGGCTTTCCAGGCCTGAAATCTCTGGGCAACAAACTTCAATGCTTGATTCTGAAGTGGGAGCTCGCACACCAACAACTCTGCATACCTTCTTGTCTAAGTAGCCAGAAAAACGAAGTGCCCCACTGAATCTGAATGCAAATGCCCATTCCATGCCCGGAATCCTGAGTCTCAAACCCCTTGATTCTGAGAACTGTTGACTCTTGACGCACAACATATTATAAGATCTCAAGTGTACCGAAGAAAACCACAGGTTTAGGCAAGCAAAGCGGTGCTTGGGTTTGGCGCTTCAAGATTATGCAGCCAATGCCACCTCCCAAGCTCACGCAATTGCGATACCCGAGCTCATCTGCTTGGTCCTTGGGAACTTTCCACTCCTCAGTGGTTCAGAAAAGCCTATCACAAGCAGGGCTGGCTTAGGGTTTCAGAGCTGAGTCACGGGAGGCTTGGATTTTGGTGAGGTGCATGAGGCTAGTATGTAAAGAAGGCAAAACAAAGTACCACTGTGCATCTGCGACTCCTGTGAGTGCCCCTCAACCTTGACCTGCGCCTGGCGAGATGAGAACAAGAAGGAGAAGTACTAGTAGTAGTAGTAGTAGTAGTAGTAGTAGTAGTTGTAGTTGTTGTTGTTGTTGTTGTTGGTGGTGGTGGTGGTGGTGGTGGTGGTGGTGGTGGTGGTAGCATTGGGGGAAGGAATCAGGGTTTAGGGTAGCATTGGGGGAAGGCATCGCGCGGTG